TTGCTTCCACAAAATATTTATATAGTAGTACCTACTCAAAACTAATCACATTAATTTTCACATTTCTTTTGGTATATCGTTAAACTCGTAGTCACTTTCGTAGGTAAAGGGTCGTGAATTGGTGGGGTTGATAGACTTTTAAATTAAATATTGATTTTATGAACATTGTCAAGTATTTTTATTTTTACTTTGTCTTCAATTATCTGCCTGATATTTTTTGCCCAACGATTGAAACNAGATTGAAACATTTGACTTTCTTGGGTTGTTATAATTAGGCAATGATCATTTGCAGTTCCAACAAAATTATTGATGTCTTCTTTAACTTATACACAAGCCTTATCCGCATTTTCAGTTTTGAAAGAGATATAGAACAGGTTGTTTTCTGCGCATATATGAGACGAACAATGGGTAAGAAGTCAACAAACTGGTATAAGTAGAAAAAGGAAGTGGACCTAGGATTGAACCTTGTGACACTTCCATCTTCAGTTCGAGAAAGTCCGACTGATTCCTACTGTCACACTGATATCTTCCCTTCAGATAATTATTAAAGAATTCAACATCGTCATTAGATATTCCTATATGATGCAAAATTGTTATCACTAGGTCATAGTTTATAGCGTCAAACGCCCTAGTGAAATCGAGGAGTGTCAGAGCTGTATATAAATCTTTATCTGAAGCCATGATAATATCATCGACTATATGTAGTAAGTAGTGCAACTATATCCTCTTCTAAATCCATATTCTTACGGAGGTAAAACTGACTTTTCATTCAGGTAATCCGTCGGCTGATAATCAATTATTTTTTCCAACACTTTTGACATTGCACGAAGATCCTTCAGTTCTTGAGGATTAGTAGTTTTTGGTATTGGTAATATTAGAGCCTTCTGTTAATTAAAAAAAAACATTATTGGTGAGACAATAATTGATGATATGGGTGAAATAGGAAAGGATTACCAAACATCATAGAAGAATCATTTTGATATTCAAACCATCATATCCAATTACATTGGTTTTAATTAGGCAAAGAGCTCAAAGTTGGAGTCGTAAAGTATACTCGTATAACTATTATATTAGGATATAACATCAACTACTGATGGAGAGATATTAGGTAACGTTTCAACAAAAAAAGTATCGATTTCATCAAAATTTTGCAAATGAGGTGGGATACCAGCTTTAGCCTTCACGGGTAGAACATAATCTTCCTAACAGAAATATATTTCATTCCCGATCATCATCTTTTTCTCTATCTTTATCTTTCACTCTCGAAAAAAATATTCTAACAATTGAAACAAGCTATATGTAAAAAATACTTGAAATCAGTGTTTATGATTTCTATCATTTAAATCAGGAAACCACACACTACATCGTTTCATTTATATTATATATTTTAATGTGTTCCAATTATTGTGTCATTTTCTTTCACCAGTATATAGGTATGCATTAATCTTTCCATTTATTCGAAAGTTTTACTTTTTTTTACATTGTATTTACGTTGTGTAACTGAAATTGCCACTATTTCTAAAACTGTTATATATTCTTTTTATTTAACACTTCCAAAATACAACTCATGAAATTATAAAACGACAACAAATATTAATTGGCGCTCCGGGGCGACTTCATTGATTCCAGTGGCGCATTTGCTTTTTCAGCTACAGGAAAACCTGGAAAAACCTGCAGCACCACATCATCTGAAGATCTTGATCTGCCAATGTCCTTTCTCTCATAAAACAAAATGTTGGGTGTCTCCAGAGACTGCAATAAATTCAATTCGACGAAATAGAAAATAAATTTGGGGTGCCACAAGGTAGTATTCTTGGCCCTTTACTCTTCCTTATTTATATAGGTGATATAGTAGGAGAAGCTGGAATGTGTGAAATCCACTTATTTGCACATGACACCCTCATCTATTTTTCTTCCACAGACCATGGAATTTTGACGGAGACGATAAACTCTACCATAAATTGTATTCATAAATGGTATTGCAGTAATTCACTTAAAATAAATGAAAATCACAATATAAAACCAGATTAAAACACTGCCAAGCCAGAATTTGGAAATCAAACTATGCGGGAACCCAATCGAACAAGTGAAAAAATCAAATACTTGGGTATTATAGTTGACTATGGACTAACGTTTTCTTTACTCTTCCTTATTTATATAGATGATATAGTAGGAGAAGCTGGAATGTGTGAAATCCACTTATTTGCAGATGACACCCTCATCTATTTTTCTTCCACAGACCATGGAATTTTGACGGAGACGATAAACTCTACAATAAATTGTATTCATAAATGGTATTGCAGTAATTCACTTAAAATAAATGAAAATGAAACAAAATGTATGCTCATTACAATAGAAAACCAGATTAAAACACTGCCAAGCCAGAATTTGGATATCAAACTATGCGGGAACCCAATCGAACAAGTGAAAAAATCAAATACTTGGGTATTATAGTTGACTATGGACTAACGTTTGAAGAACATGCAAACTATATATTAAAAACTATTTCTTAAAGTAAACTTTTTATTCAGATGTTTAAGATATCTTAATGCATGGACAAAAACGGTGATATACAATAGTATTTTACTTCCCCATTTGAACTATTGCTCCACTATTTTATACCTACTGAACCAAAACCAAATTAACAGGTGAATATTACTGGAGTTTTTTCCCCAACACCATATCGTTATTTTCAACACCTCGAACCGTGTTTCGATCACCAAGTGATCATCTTCAAAGAGGAAGATTGAAACAGTTTTAATCTGTAACAGATTCAGAGTTAAATCGTAACAGAAAAGTTCACTTAGTCTTATCAGACATTTCGAAGGCATTCGACCGTGTTTGGCACGAAGGCCTTCTACATAAACTAATTGCGTTCGACCTGCCTCGAGGCCTGATCCGGAGGATTGGGTCTTTCCTGAAAGTCAGAACATTTCAGGTTAGAGTAGAGAGATCTCTGTCTGACAACAGAGAGATTCTCGCTGGAGTGCCACAGGGGGCCGTGCTCTCTCCCACGCTATATTCGCTTTACACCAGCGACCTTCCGAGGTCCGAACATGTGAAGGTATCCCTCTACGCCGACGACACGGCTCTCTTCTCATCTTCCATGGATCGGGAGCTCGGGATCATCTATATGCAACGTGCATTGGGCGACCTTGAGCGCTGGTACCTCGAGTGGAAGATCCGAGTGAACCCGGAAAAGACTCAGGCGATAACCATGGGAAGAACGACATTTTCTCTGGCTATGAAAGTGAGAATCTCTGGAAGGGAGATCGACTGGCAAGCGCGGGTGAAGTACCTCGGTCTTCTAATAGATCGTAGGCTCACCTGGAACCCGCACCTGTTAAGCGTGAAGGCAAAGATCCAGGGTCGGGTGGCAAGCCTGTACCCTTTGATTAATAGAAAATCCAAGTTAAGCCTTAAAAACAAAATTACGATCTATAACACGATGTTCAAGCCTGTCATCATGTACGCTTCAGGCGTCTGGGGACAAGCGGCTCCGACCAACATCTCTATCTTGAAGACTTTACAAAATAAAATACTACGGATGATTGTGAATGCTCCGTGTTTCGTGCGCAATGAAGCCATCCGCAGAGATTTACAGCTGCCTTCCATTCAGCAGTCCATCCAGTCGAGGAATCGGCGAGTCTTAGATTGCGCGGAAACTCACGACAATCCGTTAGTCAGGGAAGCTATAGATTACGCTGTAGACGAACCCTCTCGATATAGAAGGCCCCGACACTCTGTCGAATGAGGCCCCCATGTCCTCCGTTAACAGATAAATAATATCTTCATCCATCCCATCCCAGCCAGGTAGGGGTACACCGCGAAGGGCCGCCATCACAGATCAGTTATGACCCATTTGTCCCTCTGACGAAAACCAGTCCAAAGGGTAGGGGAGCAAGTCTCCAGCCTGAAAGAGATCAAGATGACTATCGGCATACAGTGAGTTTATTATATTATGGTCCCCCCTCTTAACTTTCGGACGGGGTAAGGGTTGAACAAAATTTTTGTGAAGAATAATATTTGTTAGTACTTCTTGACAAAAAAGCCATAGTGCGACTTCACTGACCGCCGAGAGGTCGCTGTCAACTTTTTTCAAAATAGAACCATGCTATGTCAGATTTTTTGAAATCAATGTGCATTGGAATAATGAATGAATTAGTAACATCTCGTGCAATGGATGAGTGTTGATTTCAAAGGCATTTCACCCCCGGTATTATTTATCTCATAAATGAAATCGTTTGAGCAAATGTTCAAAATGTTTTCCTGACAGTAAATCAGACTATTTTTAAACTAATTTCCAACATTTCGGAATGTTTCTGAGGTGATGCTGTCACAAGTTTCGGCAATTCTGTCTCTTAAGTTCCCATATTGTCTCAAGTTGCATAACATGAACTTTAGATTTGATATAGATCCAAAGGAAAAAATCGAGCGGAGTCAAATCCGGAGACCGCAATATTTATCACAACCGAATGATATCCATCGAAAGTTTGTAGAACTTTTCTTTCCACTGGAGTATGATGATCGTTACCATGGTCACAAAATAACCTCACGATACGTTCATTGCGTGGCCAGCAGCGTAACCATATACAGTGTGTAAAAGTGGAGGTTGGGGGTTTTACCTGTCATTCGAAGGGGGTTGAAGGAAGGGGTGGCATTTTTACGTTGAAGAATGTCAAATTATAATTTGAATTTGACGTCTTTCGGGATTTTTTTTCAATATGTACGAAATAATGATTTATTCCATTTGCCTCCAACACACTGTGTTACTTCCAAAGACAAGAAAAAAATAACAAATATGAGTGAAACACAAGATTTCAGACAATTGACATGTATATTTTCAAGTTCCCTCGTATTAGTAGGCATTACAGCCATTGTTATTGAAGACCACCTGCAAAAATAATGAGTAATAAATATGCAAAAGGATTATTATACTCGTAATAGCATGATTATTCCTGTACATAAAAGGAAAAGGAGGTTTATCGTGAGAAGCCAACATGTCAGAAGAGGCAAATTTGAAGTTTCCTTTGAGAATTCTGAAGGAAGCAGGATTTTTGAAAGAAAAAACTCTTGTAGACAAATTCAAAATATATGTTTCACTTTTATGTCTTTTCATCGTCGACTCTTTGCTGATTTGGACTTTATGGTGTGACATCAAGACCTTCGAAGATCTTGTGACTATTTCTGAAACAGCAGGTTGTTATTGTCAGGTATTTTTACTTCGTATATACTTACTCTCGATATTGGGTCATTGAGAAATTGTATTTCATGAATTTTCATTTTGTTTTCATATTTCAATATAAGTATATCTAGAATACCTACATCGAGTTTGAGATTGATCTACCATTCGTTGAATACTCTGAAAACATAATAATTATAGTAATACGGTGGACTCATTACTTGGCATTGTTCTTATATTTCAGTGTTTCACAGCATTTCGGAAACACAAGAGGTTGCATCTTCAATGCCAGCTGCATTTATTTCTGAACAATTAAGTGTCTAAATCCCCATATACGATTTAGATGGATCAACATTATTCATATTTTTTTTTCTGATTCATTCGGCCGTTACTTGATGAAGATCCATAGTAATTTCAAAAACTACCTACAACTCACGATTGGATCTCCACAAACTTTATTTGAAAAATATATCACATGTTTCGCTAGTACAGTAGCTTCATCAAGTGATTTGAATACTTCAAGTTGTTTCTTACACTAAACCTCTACCTAAGGTACCCGTTCAATTATGATCACCTGAAGCATATTACCTCACATCTACATCGATAATAATTCTTTCTCGGTTTTTAAGAAAACAAGTTCAATAATGATGATCTATTCAAATCCAGTTGGTCATTCATTAGAATGTTTGAATTTTTAGGTTTATTAATTTCCATTGCTTCTAAATGATTCAGTTTCAAACCTTTATTNAACTCCAGTAATATTCATTACTACCCCAAAGGTTCCAAACAGTGCATCACAAATGATACTGGTAACCACAAAACATCTATGGAAACACTTTTCAGTGTCTCTCAACACATAAATATGTGTCTGTCGCATTCTAGCGAGGATCAACACATTTTCAATAGGTTCATTACACACCATAGCCCACTAACTCCTACTTCCATAACAATGAAACACGTGGTGCTAATCTTATACGACCTGCTAAATTCAATCTACAGAAATTTTCCAAGAATTCCTTAGATGTTAACCTATAAAATATCTTGCCAACTACAGTCAAGAACTTATCACAGACACGTTTTAAAAAAGGCATAAACATTTCTCATTGATGAAGGCATTTATAGTACAGATGAATATATGGCTGCTTCCATGGTAATGCCCAGATTTATCTTTTAATCGAAAGTGCGTGTAATAATATATCTTTCAAAAATTTTATTTCATTTTGTTATACAGTGCTGCTTGTAATAATGTATTTTAAAAATTAGTGTACCCCTTTTGGGTGCCTTGTGTTTTCGTTATACTGTAGTGTTAATGTTTTTATTTTATTTCGGTATTATTCAATTTCAAATGTTTGATTTATCAGCTGACTTGTTACAAATGTTTTATACATATACGTAGTCAAATAAACTATCTATCTATCTATCTATCTATCTATCTATCTATCTATCTATCTATCTATCTATCTATCTATCATACAATGCAACCATACAATATTTCTGTGAGGTACTCCATCTTCCCCATGCCTTTGTGAAAATTTATACAGACTCATCTATACTAGCTTAATACATTAGAGCAGCAGTAGTTACACCAGCCACATTTAGATCCATACAGCAACTACAACCATTATCGTGCCATACTTCAGAGGCTACACGTCGAAAATTAAAAGGGAGTATATTCTGGTAATCACAGATTAGTTGAGTTTACTGCAAGTACTTGATAAACTATGTGTGATTCACCCATTGGGAAACCTGATTAAGAAAGAACTGCGCATATTCCAATAGTTGGTGTTATATATAGTGAGTACGGTCCAGTGTATAATATCGATGGTATGCGTTTTTGTACTTGATGTTTTGGATTCCTCTATTAAACGCAAAAATAAAGATAGTTTTAATTAACAATACTAAGCGAATGAATTCACTGTGGGTTCCATATCACACATATACCTATACCAGAAAATGAGGTAGCAGATGGAAGTACCCGAGAATCAATTAAATATCTAAGTTATAGAAATCATGTGAGCTATGGAGAATTTGGAATTGGAAATCATCAAAAGCGATCTCTTGAAATCAAACCAAATGTCAGTCTAAAATGTCAGAATATAATGCCGCGACTACCCATTGGTATTTGATATCTAGAGGAAAACTATATTCAGTTCGGTTAGTAATGAAGTATATTATAGTAATCTGACTGCCGTATTTGCAAAATTTACAGAGACAAATTTTATTCCTCGAATAATTCAGGACTGTAAATATGTAGAAGTTTCTAAATAAAATCAGGAGCAACAGCGGGGCAGGTACAATGTCTTCCGACAGTCCGAGTCTCTGCATATGATGATTTAAATGACAGTGACCTGTAAGACTGCCTGTTAGACTTCGTGGTTCATCCCTACTGTAGTCCAACAACTGTTTGGTATCAAGCTTCGAAGGGTGAATAAAATCCAGGAAGATTCTGCCAGTCTGGCTTTGTGTAAAACTTTTTCCAAGTGAGCGTTCCAGGTGAGTTTTTTTATCAAGGACAATGTCAAGATATTTCAACTCCGTTCCGAATGGAATGACCTCACCATTGAGGGAAAGTGGCGTTAAATCGTCCAGTTGTCTCCTTCTGGTGAAGGGAATTATCACAGTTTTGCTGAGGTTGACAGACATCTGCTCCCTCAGGCACCAACTGTGAACAACGTCCAACGTGCTTTGGAGGATATTACAAGCTACCCTTACCGATGAGGACCTTGCCAAGATGACAAGGTCATCTGCATAAACTTGCAGATCTACTTTTCTTCTGTCGAGGGCATCAAGCAGACTNTCCAACGTGCTTTGGAGGATATTACAAGCTACCCTTACCGATGAGGACCTTGCCAAGATGACAAGGTCATCTGCATAAACTTGCAGATCTACTTTTCTTCTGTCGAGGGCATCAAGCACGATGATGACATTTAAAAAACGCTTGAATCTTCTTCTTAATTCCCAGTATGTCTTTTTTTGCTAAGCCCTTATTTTACTCATTTTAATTAAACTTGTATTAGTGTATATTTTTGTAAGGTTGAAAAACAGCTTACGCTGATAATCCGCCTATTCATTCGATTTAGTTTTTTAACTTGTGTTCAGATTTCTTTCTTTTTTAGATGAACAAAATCGATTTATTATTGTCATTTTAATTCCGCCACTAATAACCCTGATCTGAGCACATTTGATTATTTTGTAAAATATACAAAATCATCCAGTCCAGCTCAGTGGTCAGCAACATGTAGAAGGAAATAGAGTGCGCAATGCACTGAAAAGAAGGATGACTTTGGATATCAATAATCGAGAGGTCGTGAAAAAGCTTAGCTTGAAATCTTTTTTTTTTGTTGTCTCACTATTGCTTTTCATTCTTTTTTCGCATATTGGTAACCTTCAACTCATTGTTGAAAATATTCGTTTCTTCTGAACTATATTATCAATTCTTCTGCATTTTAGTCTCCATCATTCTTTTCATAGTATTATACAGGGCAATTCAAATTCGTTTCTGTACATGGAGATCTTGTAAACGATAAGAGATATAGAGTCTCGGTTCAATTGTGGCAAAGTTGTGTACTTTAGAGACCTATTCAATGATGTAAAGGAATCGAATATAGCTCTTTTGGTTCTGGAGATATACAGGAAAAACAAAAAAATCCCAAATTATTTTTTTGCCTATATTTTCTTTATTCGCAGACATATTGAAAATCAGTCCACTCATGTCCTTAAAAATTCATTTTCTTCACTCTCATCTTAATTTCTTTCCACAAAACTGTGGAGCTGTGAGTGACGAACATGGAGAAAGATTCCATCAAGACATTGTTTTTATGGAACAGAGATATCAGGGCCGTTGGAATGAAGCAATGCTTGCAGACTACTGCTGGTCTGTGTGTAGGGATGCTCCAAAAGTGTATACGAGATCCCCATGTACAGAAACGAATTTGAATAGCTCTGTATATTATTTTTTCAACTCACCCATCCAAATATTTTCTTCTGCTACACAGTTATTTTATATTTTCTTCAACAACATTCTTCGGCCGATACTTGACGAAAATCCATAACATATTCGAGAAACACTTCATGAAGTATTTCTTAAATACTCTCAGCATTCAATGAGAAATGTGTTTTCAACAATTATCCGCCAAACATAAAACTTTTGATGAGTATAAAATTACTTGAACGGAAGTCTTGTTTGAGGAGGAAAATTAGTTTTTTATCAACTGGTATAAAGTTTTCCATTATAATTTTCGTATTTTTCAGATTGTGGAAGGTGAAAATGCCCAAGAAAAGTCGATAAAATCTGTCCAAGTCTCTCAACATAATTGAAGAATCCTTTTTTTTTTTCAGGCGACGTCGAAACTTCTAGTTCTCATTATCTTTAACAACGACCTGAAGGACATCCTCACCTCACGGGACCATTTCTGGGAATATGACAAATTTGGAAAGGAGTTTGGTGATAAACTGAGAATTATTCCCAGAATTGCGTTCAGTTTCATCAAAATATTTATATTTTTTGTTCTGGGCGTACTTTTGGCGATGCTATTGAACCCCATTCTCTTTGGCATTCTTCCTACGAAACTTTGGGTGCCTGACGGACGAATTTGGTTCTATACGACGTGTGTAATTCAAAGTGAAGTTCACATTTACTCTGCTGTTGCGAGTGCTTTGGGATTCGATACGTTGTTCGCACTCATCTATATAGAGATAACGATACAATTCAAATTGCTAAATCGAGCTTTCTCAATGATGGAAAACCACAACGACTTGAAAAAGTGTGTGGAATATCAAGTGTTTCTTTACGAGTAAGTAAATAATTATAATAATAATAAATTTTCAGCTCCCGGTGAGACGACGATCTCTCGAAAAAAGAAAGTAAAACGGATGAAACGTCAAGATTTCTCTCTTTGAACTCCGAAGACTTTTTAACTGTATCTGTAGAGTAGGGAGAGTGAGTGTTAGCCCACAGCACTTAAGCCCATGTGACCCATTATACATCCTCCCGAGGAGGTCATCGTCCATCCTGTCCTTTCCAGGAAGGTGGACAGGTCACTGAGAGACATTTCCTTTATATCGGTAGGTTTAGGCCAAGACTCGCCGAACACACACTCTCTAATTGACGATAACTCCGGGTACTCGCATAGGACATGCCTGACAGTCTCATCTTCCTGTTCACACATCCTGTTCACACACTAGCCCCCTAATCGGGGGCTAGTGTGTCCACTAGCTTTATCTACCGAGGCTTTGGCTAAATCTTGGTGGCACTCTAGTACTAGTCCTGAGGTAACACGTTGTTTGTTCATGACTAATAAGGCTTGTCTGCTGTCAGTGCAGATTGTTATGTTTTTGCCAGAAATTTCTTTCCTGGTTATTTATTTTGTGGCGATTGAGATACCAGCCAGTTCCGCTGGTATTTTTTCCCATTTCCCACTTAATCCCTAGGCTTAGTGATCTGGAGTACATTCCACATCCTGACTCATCTTTGGTTTTTGAGCCGTCTGTATATATGCATATTGCATTTGTAGCATCTGACTCCGTGTTCTTTTTTATTTGTATTTTGAAGAGTTTATTAAACATAAACCTGGGTTCAATTGCATCCCTGGTTGGCTGCAGCAAAGGTTGCGCAGCAAGCGCTTCTCCATAGGCTCAGCCTCAATTGACCCCTTCCTACTTCGAGTTTCACACCGGCCGTGCCCAATCGTAATAAAGCCATTAACGCAACCTCGTTAACGTACAGGTCCAGAGGGGTCAGAACCACTCCGAAGACTCTATCTTTGGTGCCCTCGATATTCTCGAATCTCAAGATGAGGCCGGTTTGTGCATGTAGGCAGAAATCTTGCTCTGACTTTCTTGGCTCTTTGCATATGCTTAGGACACGTGGTTCTTACCCCCAATGATCTTTTAACCCACGATGTGGGGAGTGGTCACAAATTGATAATGCTGGCGCGCTCTCCCGAATCTGACGAATCTTCGGGAAAAGGGTCTGACTAGCTTACTCTTCGTAACAAATAACATAACAAATAACATTATAGTCATAATAATAATAATAATACGCTCCTGGCGAGACGAATATCGTCCGAAAAGAGGAGGAAAAACTTATAAAATATCGAGATTTTCTCTTCGAACTCCGCAGATTCTAGCCAGACGAAATGGTTGTTCTGATTATTGAAGTCCTTGGTGAAATAATGCCCTCTCTACGCACTAAGGCAGAAGTCTCAGACGGACAGATGCAGAAGGGTGTCATTCTTGGCTTACTGCGCTTGCTCAGGGCACATGATTCTCGGACCCAATGATCACTTACCCCACGGTGTGGGGAGTGGTCATTGGTTGATAATGCTGGCGCGCCCTCCCGAATGTATCGGGTTGTCTAAGTTGGTGAGGTCGTTAATATAAATGAGAAATAGAGTCGGGCCCAAAACTGATTCTTGAGGAACTCCACTCTCAATTACTTGCTTTCCAGACTTACTACCATTAAATGATACAATTTGGCCACGCTCCGATAAGTACGACCTGAGCCAGGACAGTACCGTGCCTCGAAACTTATAAACTTCAAGTTTGCGGAGCAGTATTCCATGATTTACGCAGTCGAATCCCTTTGATAAATCACAGAATATCGCCGCCGCAGCCTCTCGTTCATTAAAATTAATATAAAGAGATTCTAAGAAAGTGAAAATGGCGTCCTGAGTGTTCTTAGAACATTGAAATTCATATTGGCGGTTACTTAGAATAATAAATTTTTTGAGAAATGCTGTCATTCTCCTCTTCATAATTTTCTCGACAATTTTTGACAGAACAGGTAGTATAGAAATTGGTCTGTAGCTGGAAGGCTACTCGAAATCACCACCCTTGTGAAAGGGAATGATAGTTGCCAATTTGAGGCATGACGGAAATGTCCCACGGCACAACGACAAGTTAATTGCCGAAGACTCTATCTTTGGTGCCCTCGATATTCTCGAATCTCAAGATGAGGCCGGTTTGCGCATGTAGGCAGAAATCTTGCTCTGACTTTCTTGTCTCTTTGCATATGCTTAGGACACATGGTTCTTGCACCCAATGATCTTTTAACCCACGATGTGGGGAATGGTCACAGATTGATAATGCTGGCGCGCTCTCCCGAATCTGACGAAGCTTCGGGAAAAGGGTCTGACTAGCTTACTCTTCGTTACAAATAACATAACAAATAACATTATAGTCATAATAATAATAATACGCTCCGGGGGATATTGAATCCGTCGTGGGGAACTATTCGTTCCCCACCCTCAGGTTCATACAAGCTAATAAGCCTGAAGTAGTCCTTCTTCTCGACCACCAGAGTAAGACTATATTTGTCGTGGAGTTTTCAGCTCCTGGCGAGACGAATATCGTCCGAAAAGAGGAGGAAAAACTTATAAAATATCGAGATTTTCTCTTCGAACTCCGCAGACTCTAGCCAGACGAAATGGTTGTTCTGATTATTGAAGTCCTTGGTGAAATAATGCCCTTTCTACGCACTAAGGCAGAAGTCTCAGACGGACAGATGCAGAAGGCTGTCATTCTTGGATCACTGCGCTTGCTCAGGGCACATGATTCTCGGACCCAATGATCACTTACCCCACGGTGTGGGGAGTGGTCATTGGTTGATTCAAACACAGGTAGTGGCAGCAACGCAGGTAAAGGGAAACATCCATCCCTATAAATTGAGACACAGAGTTCGAATTAATCAGTCTAGTTGAAAAAACCAGACTCCACCAGAAGATGGCAAATAAGACTTTGCCGAAACGTTGTGAAAATAATCCTTATGGGGAGAAAATACACAGAAAACAGTATTTCAAAATTGAATTTGACAAAAAGGATTTGAAGCCTTATATCTTCTATTAATTATCTGCGAGCGCTTTCGACAGTTGATAGTACTCATCTTCTAGGCACTCCTCAAAGGAGTATGAATTCAAGAACGTATCAATATTTCAGTAATTTAAGGCTCTCGGTTCATGATCATGTATCAAAAATCAAATATAATAAAATACATAATTCTTTATGACAATAAAAGTATCGAAGTGTCCATAAAAATAGTTCAGTCATTATTTGAAATATCTTGCCTCACCTCACCTTATGAAATATTCTGTATTTTTTCTTCCAGAGAATGAGAAGTACTTGAATTTAAAAATATCTTATTTCAGGTTCATCGAAAAGTTGAGGAATGTTTTTTCAGTATTCCTGTTGACTCTGTGTTTCGACTGTATGATTTTAGTTAGTATAAAAATGCTCGTTGCTGTAGATCCGTAAGTGGCCTTTAGTTTATGAAAAAATCTCGTTTTACTTATTACTGTCTTTTCTAGAAACCAAAATATGGTTCTCAGAGTGAAAGCAATACTGTTCGTAATTGGTAAAAATGTGCAGCTGTCTTTATTTTGTTTTCCGGTTGGTTTCTTAAAAGATGAGGTAAGAACTGAGGGTTGGGGATTGTACACCCCTGCAAATACTTCAAAATTGTAAAACGTAGGCATTAGACATGTATGCATTGTGTAAAAGCCATATGGAATAAACTCAATATTTCGAATACGGTACATATTTTAACAAAATCCCGAAACACGTCAAATTTACATTAAAATTTGACATACTTCAACGGAAAACGTTAGTTTAAAACGCCTTGTCAACTTGTTATGTATGTTACAACATTAGTTGTCAGTATTTTGATTTAAGTTTAAAGTTCATTAACTTCAAGTCTGACAAATGGTTAGATTAACGGAAATGCATGAATTAACAGTTTTACAAATGATTGGTTACGGAGATAAAACCAGAACACAGTAAGAAGTAGCTTGACTATTTCATAAAAATTTCCTAATTTACCACCCATATCTCAAGGAACAATAAGCAAAAAAGAGAAGCAGTTCCGCGAGCTTGGTCATGTGGGGCAGATAAAAAAGTGTCTGCCAATGCAATGTGTGTTGAACTCAAATCAGATGTGATGCTTGAGTTTGAGAAAAACCCACATACATCCACTACATTCAATGTTAGCGATACATCGATAGTAAATATATTAAAAGAAAATAAAATACATCCCTATAAAATGATAACTACTCAGGAGCTCATGGAAGACGATTTTGATAGAAAAACTTATTTTTGTGAGCAAATGATGGACATGTTGGATACTAATATCATCCAATTAGAAGACGTTATGTTTTCTGATGTGTGTACTGTCTCTGAACGGTCATGCTAATCGGCAAAATTGCCGCTACTAGTCAACGCAAAATCTTCACTGGATGAGAGAAGAACACACGCAATACCCTCAAAAGGTTAATGTTTGGACAGGGATTGTAGGAAACCATATCATTGGTCCATTTTTCATTGAGGGCAACTTGAATGGCGATAATTATTTGGCACTACTTCAAAATGCCATTCCAAGTTTAGCAGATTTATATCCTGATCCAGGAAATCTTCAAGTTCCAATGAATACGATACGATTTCTGCAGGATGGAGCACCACCACATGACCAAGTTAATGTCCGGCAATACTTCGATACAACATTTTCCAATCGGTGAATAGGGAGCCGAGGATGGATTGAATGGCCAGCGCGATCACCTGATCTTTCATCATTAGATTTCTTTTTCATGGGGATATGTAAAGAGCAATGTGTACAAAAGTGAACCTTCAGTTTTTAATGACTTAAAAGGACGAATAATGCTTGCGATTAGGTCGGTCACACCTGATATGTTTTATTTGAGATTAGGATGTTGCCAAGACGTTCACGGTGAACATTTTGAACATCTACTCCTTTAACATCTATAGTTATTTTTCGTATTCTACATTTCATTACGTTTTGCATTACATTTTAGTTTTTGAGTGTATTTTATCGAATGTCGGTAACCACATGATTTTATTTTATTTTATCTTAATTTATTTATTACACAAATAGGGATACAAACAGAATAAATCCAAAAAAAATATCCTCATTTTGCATATGAAATATAGTGAGTAAAGAAAATATAAATGCTAAGTACATTACGCTATATAGTAATGAATATTAACAAAAAATTAAAAAAAAGTATATGAAGAATCGATAACTAATTAACATACTTTTTAAATCAAAGGAAAGGTAACCTGTTTTTCAATATCATTGCAATGAGTATTGAAGGATCTGACAGTTCTGCATAAAGGAGAGTTTTTTCTGAATTGGTTTTTCTAAATGGGGTTGCAAACAGATCATGGTTTCGCAAGTCTCTGCAAGCTATATTCAATAAAATTTTTGTTATCAACGTAGGACAATCGACACGTTCATTGAATAATTTGTACAGCATTAATATATCTGACATGTTTTTTCTATGTGTAAGAGACAACAAAGAATACTATTTGGAAACTGGACGGTAATTTCCATTTATTATAGAGATGTCACTTTTACGAGCCAATTGTTTGATGAATTTATTTTGAACACTTTCAATTCTCTGTTGGTAAATCGAATATTGTGGATTCCAAACGACAGATGAAAAGTTCAAACGACTATATACATAAGAGTAATATAGATAAGGAAGTGTTTTTGCATTTCTGAAATGTCTTGTACTTCTTATAATGAAACCTAATAAACGAATACACATATTACCAGTTTTTTCAATGTGGGATTTAAAAATCATTTTGGAATCCATTATCACTCCCAAATCACGTACTTCATTAACTGTTTTGATTGTGCGATTTCCTATTCGATATTGAAAATCAATGGGATTTCCATTTCTCGTGAAAGTTATTTTGTGACATTTATCGAGATTTAAGTATAGGCTATTATTGCCACAGATTTCTGCAAATGCTTCAATATCATTTTACAATCACTCACAGTGCTGGATTTCTTTGATGGTTCGATAAATCTTGAGATCATCGGCATATAACAAAAAGTTGAATGTTTGAAATACTTCAACAATATTATTAATATAAATTATAAAAAGTAATGGTCCCAAGTTATTACTGATTTTTGTCATAAATAATACCTTTTAATCGTACTAGTATTGTGTATTATCTATAATTTGCCACAACCTACAACTCTACTGCTTACTATTTTTGATTCTGCTATAAACTGGTAATGTAAAATTTAGATATGACAACGCGCTTCACTCTCAATCATTATTGGTTTTACTATAGAATGCTTTCACTTTTTGTCTACGTCAACGCACCGATGAGAGTTTGAAAGAGTTTGAAGAGAGTTCAGGACATACGTTGCTGTAAATGCCATTAGACATAATTACAAGAAAACATTGACTGCATTGGAAAAACTAATTGAACCAAATGAAAGTTTGAACACACGTACGGATGCAGGAAGTTTTTTAGTCGCTACGTAGTCCTTTTCATTTTCAAGTTAGTTGGACTTCTGATATTCGATACTGTGTAAGATACTCAAAAGTATTTATAAAACGAGGAACTCAATATACACTAGTATATTCAGGAAATAAATGTTTTACAGACCTTATAACAAGAAAATCGTAAGAAACTTGTAAGCGGAGCTCTCCTGAAAGTTCTCCTGAAAGTTCATGCAAACAACTTGGATTCTCATGGAATTTTTTCCGAACCGCCAAAACAAGTCAGAAGGAATCAAATTTTTGGCGAACAATCTTCTCTTCAGTAGACAAAGTGATTACTGAAATCTAGCGCAAAAATATGCCTTTTTAATGCCTGCAGTAATGCTGGGCTTGTAAAAACCTAAATCAAACTCCTCAGGGCATAAATACAGATGAGTTTGGACATGACCGCACACGTCTACGAGCCTCTGTAGGAACAGACACATATTGCAAAAAGGAACTCATTAGGTCTGGCTTCCTGGGCTTATTGAAATATATTAAATAGATGGTTGTGTTGAGGTCTTTGCTTGAAAAAAAGCACGTGAAGTAAATTTTTATTCAGATTTTTGTGCAAATGATCTGGCTTAAGGATTAGTGCAGGTTTCATGAAAATAGGTTGACTGATTTACCCACTGATCCCTTTGATGTTGATGTTAAGTCTACCCTGCACGCTGCAGTGGGTATATTGTTTTTTATTAATCCAAGTTCATATCAATTGCTGAATCGTTGAATCCTGGCTAAAGGTGAGGTCCATATTTGACGGTAATCAATGATTCTCCTAATTCAGAATTACGCTACGCCACTGCGTAGCGTAATTTTGAAGAAATTAAACAACAGAGAGCTGCCTGTTTTTGTTACACGCATAGGGTTAGACGAGTTAGATTGCGACTATGAAAATCTCGACTTTTTTCACGAAATCTCGCCTTTTCTCTCAAGATCCCGCCTTTTTTCTCAAAATCCAGACTTTTCTCTCGAGATCTGGACTATTTTCCCGAGATCTCGACTTTTTTTTATCGAAATCTCGTATTTTTTTCTCAAAATCTCGTTTTTTTTCCGTGATCCCGTTTTTTTTTCAGGAAATCTCTACTTTTTTCTCTAGTTTTCGGCTTTTTTCAGTGTTTTTTTACCGAAATCTCGACTTTTTTCTCGAAATGCTGTCAACCCAACTTTGATGGACATTTCGCTGCAAAACGAGGCTTCTTCATTTTAGAAGGGTGCTATGGAATGATCCGCGAAATTACCCGAATTGTCTCCATTTGATTTTTTGGAGACATCTGAAATCTAGAATTATGGCAACAAACAGCATCAAATATACTGCACAATGTCTGGGTACACTACAAACAATTGTTTTACTAATATGTATGGATGTGAATGTCGCATATTTTCAAAACCTTATGAGATAATACTTGGCAACTAATCAATAAAATTAAATTTAATTTCTCGAGAACGGGTAGCTTAAATTTAAAAAGTAAAGTGGCTTTTTCGTTGTATATTATTTCAGCTAGACAGATCACCTGAGGCCATTAGTAGTTGCCCATGGTTCTTGAAGAATAAAACTTTTAGAAATGACATAATTTTCATCATGCTGCGCTCTCAAAGAACGATTTCGGTTAGAGCTGGAGGACTATTTGAAATAGATCGTCAAGCATTTACCGAGGTAAGTTAATTCTAGATAAGTAATCCGATTTCATAATTTGATCCTACAAACTCAACAACAGAAACCAACAAAAAGACTACAACAGTAAAATCGGATAATCTTGATTTCGAATTTGATTTTCATGATTCATCTGTCAAGAACAACCTGAAAAATTCAATTCCTTATCCAAATAAATTCGCAATGTTTTATTCAAACTCCGCTTGAGATTTTCCCAGTTAGAAAAGTGTTTTATTACTTAGTTTCGTTTCAGTCTGAAAGATGATATCGTGTTTTATTTTTGTACTTTCACTTTATTTTCAATATGTGTGTATGGTAATCCCCTTCACCAGGAGGAGAAAATTGGACGATCTAACGCTACTTTCCCTCAATGTTAAGATCATTTCATTTTTAACGGAGGTGAAATATACCGGCATTGTCCTTGATAAAATACTCAGCTGGACAAAGTTTTACTCAAAGCCACACTGTTCCAATGGACATGTTGAAGGAGTTGTGGTAAAAATTGGGGTTTAGGTCCCAAACAAATCCATTGGATTCATGTGATGATTGTCAGATCAATGATCACTTTGGTTGAAATTGCCTGGTGGCCGAAGGCTTTACAGAAAACGACCCAGGCGAAGCTGTCTGGCTCACAGAGACAGGCTTATCTAGCCATGAGTACCACATCGTCAGCGGCCATGGAGATCCTTCTAGATCTACCTCCTCTCCACATTTTTCTGGAGAAACAGGCTAGATAGACTGCATATAGCCAATTACATAAATAAATTCAATGCAGAGTGCAAGAGACTGTTAGTTGACACTGGAAGTTACAGCATTCTGGAAATGACCACTGATTTTATGCCTCCAACTGTTAACTACGAACTGCCTTATAAGGACATATTAGGAGCAGATAGTTGTTGGTTCACAGATGGATCAAAGATCCCTTCTGGTTCTAGTGCAGGTGTTTTCAGTCGCAGACCCAGGATAGAGGTATCAACCTGCCTAGGAACCTATGCGACTATATTTCGAGCGGAAATTTACGCTATTGAATTGTGTCCGGAGATATTGGAAGAATTCAACCTCATACACAAGTCAATAAAAATATTTTCGGATAGTCAAGCGGCGTTGTAAGCTCTTGGTTCCTACCGAGCAACGTCTAAATTGGTAGCAAATTACCAAAAACGACTCTCCTCGATAGGAAGACGTAACAGAATGTCTCTGATCTGAATTCCTGGCCATACTGGCCTGGAAGGCAATGAGGCTGCTGACTCCCTTGCAAAGGAGGGTGCTGCAAGCAGCTTCATCAGACCAGAACCTGTTATTGGCATCGCTTTAGCCTTTGCTAAACAAAGATTGAACACCTGGATGGCAAGAAGATTAATGGACTTCTGCCAGAATCTTATAGGATTGGCTCACTCCGAGGCGTTTATTCGTCCTTCGAAGCTTGATACCAAACAGTTATTGGACTACAGTAGGGATGAACTACCATGTCTAACAGGCCTTTTTACAGGTCACTGTCATTTGAATCATCATATGCAGAGACTCGGAAGACAGTGTGTGTCGCCTCTGTTTGGAAAATAATGAAACAGCAGAGCGCATACTTTGTATCTGCCCCGCTGGGGACCGAATCTGGTTTTTAGAGCTCGGTAGAGCCGTACTCTTACCATACAAACTAATCGGCTTCGTTAAGAAGCTGGGTTTAGTTGGTCGAGTGTGAATATGTGTGTGCCACAATAAACCCTTGCGGGTTGCGATGGAGGGTCGAATAGACCCACTCACTTCGGACATAACCTAACCTGTCCTAACCCCTATTATACACTGGTAACCGACAATAAAAAAAAAATAAAAAGAAAAAACAGACATTAAGCTACTTTCTACAATAGCCTCCAGAAGATACTTACAAACTCAGGTTCACACACCAAGTCCAGACAGCTTTAGTAGTATGCCAGGACTAGTACGTGAACTATTCACTATTTTTCATTACACAGTTCCTTTTGGCATGCTGGCAGCTTGCCTCTCATTGTTCCCTTTCATCCCTCACAATCCTCTCTGCCCATTCATTCGCGACGCAAATTCATTCCTTTTCCTTTCCATTCAAGTCACTTTTTCCATTCGCGCCATCCAATTTTCCCTCCTTCCATGCATCTCTCAAGCACGTGCTCTGCCGTTTCAGGCTCTCCCCAGCCACAGGGGCACTGCACCTCCGATCCCAGGTTGACTATAGGTCCTATAGGTAACCCGGGAAGTTACCATGCCCCTTGAACAGTTGGACAGCTTTCCTCGACAGATTAAGAGATTCAAACCCGACTGTTTTACAGTATTTGTATAACAGCCTCCCAGTCGTTCCGTCTTTCCATTCCCGCAGCCATTCTTCCATGATGCACTCTTTTATTATTTTCCTATCCTCATTCCTGTTAACCATTCTCCTCAAATTTCAAGTGACATTTTCTAACTTCGAGCACAATAGACTATTACAACCAGTAGGCTCTCTTACCACGTGATCCGCCCGAGTTGCCGGGGACCTTCAACCGCTCTTAGGATAAGATTATCATCCAACGCGTTCAGTGCTGTAGTATCGAAGGATTCGACGGTATCAAGGACATCGGATTAGTTATAATAAACGGTCGGAAATTGATATTGTGTTTAGTTTATTCGCTGTTTTTATTATTGTTTTTAGTTTTTCCAGTTACCACAAATTATTCTATAATAACCTTAAATTTCGTTTTCATGTGAGCACACGCCTATGGTAAAAGAACGAGAGTGGCTCCGCTCTTCGTTTCGAGGCACCGAGAACTTTGTGAATTTACTATGCTTTGAGACTGAGACAGATGGAAGTAGCGCAGTCTAGTATTGGAATATAAATGCAACGTGGTTCGAGTTTTCTGTCAATTGTATAGAAGGCATTTTTCAGGGGCAATCATCTTATTCACGTTCATAGACTATACTTATGAAATTTTTCACAATTCACTCACTTCTATTCAAATTAATGAAGATATTTGTTTGTTGTTCCTCATAATCAATAACTATTTTTTTTTAGGTTTTCAAGTTTACATTTTCGGTCTACACTTTGTTGAGCGCAGTTCAATAAACATCAATTTTAATTCAGCCAACAAGTAATTTCTTGCAAAACACATCGCTTCTAGTCTTTGTTCACTATTATAACATTATAAGTAATAAACGCAAGCAAAATCACGCAACATAGATGTTTTGCCTCAAAATACTTTTCTCAGAGAACTCTGAAAAGGATAGGTATGCTAGTGATAAAAATGATGATGATAATAATAATTAATACGTTATTTTCAGATCTGGCACATAGCATAGCAAAGTAGCCCATCGATATGAAAATGAGAGAGTGAAATGTGAGTGTTTTTTATATGTACACTTAGATAAAACCAGAACCCATAAAAACAGCTGTCCTCAATTACCGTCACACATCTCAGATGATTTTTTTTTATAAAACAGGCATGTGTCGNAAATTGAACTATTCTGCAAAAATTTATTTCAAAATGAAAATGAGTATTCTATGATATAATGTTAACTCATATCATGTATAAAAAAAATTGCAAACAATTTGGACAAATTGTTTTTGCACATTGCAAACATATAGTTTTTTTGCAGATGTCGCAACTATGGTTGGTTTTACGGTCGTTCTTCGATAGACATACAGAACATTTTTTTTTGACCTGGATATTGACAATATTGAAGATATCAAAGGCTGTATCTCGTAATTTTCGAATAACTTTTCGGTTGGAAATTCAATGTCTAATTTGTCCTAACTCACTATCATCGAAATCATAGTCTTGATCATCAAATTGCCACTCAATTTCACTGGCTGCATCGTGATCACTTATTTCCTCAAAATCCATTTCTTCAACATCACTTGCATCATTTATCATGCAATGGAACATTGCATCGATCACATGATTTATTTGTTTTGCTTTGACATAATGCACATCTTCTTCTTTTTTGTGCGCATTTTATGAGATGTTGACCGGATTAGCGAAGGCTTTGTGGTATCGATGAAGATCTTGATGGTCCTGGAAATCTTCTGAAGGTCAAGTTATCATGCTTGCATTCCAATTTTCTTGAAAGCACCCAAGCATTGTTCATAGAAACGTCAAACATCCAATAGAGAATAGGTATATACCACTTTTTACCTCGGAATCCTATTATATATTGAGCAATGTTTCTGTCCATAAGATCATCACATCAATTTTAGCTTTTTGTTGTGCAGAATATAATTTTGCTGTTTGAAGCGGTGTAACACCAAATTCATTGGACATCAGAGTAACTACACTATTATCATTCCACTGTACGGAAATGATATTATTCTTCCTGTCCGAAGCAAAATTATAAGCTCCCCTTTCGTTTTTCTTCATTGTCTTTTTATTTTCCAGAGGACATTTGTTCTTTACAATCCTCATCACCGGAATCAGCATCTGTATCAAATCCGTTATCTTCAGGAGGTGTAATGATAATATCACTGGGCATCTCGGAATCATCATCCAGCTTCTCTATTTCTTCCAACAGCTCAGCTGTAGTGAGCGGTTTTTTCCTGAAATAACATATTAAACATACTTAAATTTGCCCAAGGGAATTTCAGGTTATGAATAACGTAAACCTTCATTGATATCAGTTGATTTCAATGAATTGGGTATCTAAGTTCCCAATCGTCACTTAAAATGGATGACTAAAAAGATTACTGCTTACTCACCAATATAATTTGTGTCTCATGTTTTCAAAATTGCAATGAACGGATATATCATTTCTTACTGGCTCACCGCAGAACAAATCGAACAATTCAGAAGAAAGTTGGAATAATGATCAAATGAAAACCTAAATATTTCCTTTCAACTTGTAGCGAAAAGTGTGACAGAAATTAAAAAGTGCGTTGGGTCATTAACGACCCTCTGGGCATAAATAGGTTGAAATAATGGATGGGTCTCGCGTTCATCTAAAAAAATACGACCCCATTTTGGTCAAACCTTCCTGACTGTCACTATGAAATGATTATCTTTGAAAATGAAAAACAAAATATGAATATTCGTATACTTATGATTTAATCAATTTCAATAATTTGGTGAGAAAACACCAATGATTGTTCTACACTGTTCGGAAAATTTAGCAGCTAGATTTGTCAGCCAACTTCACATTGGTTGAAATATATTATGTGATTTGGATCTTGATACTTTTGCCGCAAGTAAACTAAAACAACATTATACTTGCGTTTTTGCAGAGCTGTTAGAGAAGCAAATGCAAAACAAGAGCATTACTTTGTATGACCTAAGGGCGGAATTGAACTGCAGGTACAAAGATTTGAGGCAACCGTTCCATTCAGCTATTCCTGAGGGATTTGTAATATTATATTAATCAATAATCTACACTAATATTATAAAGAGGAAATATTTGATTTTTTGTTTGAAGAAGGCAAACTTTCCCAATTTCTAGACTTTATTTGGAATCGAATTGTTTAAACCGTATTTAATTATTTTTAAAATAAAAATAAAAAATGCATAATAGAAGCCTCTTAATCACTAGCGCAGGTGCAAAGATGAGGTGACGAAACAAGAACACCTTAAGCAGGTATATTTTGCAGTTGACGAAACAAGAATAAAATGGGTCATAACAGGTAAAATTTCCCTAGGTGACGAAACACGAATTGACGAAACAAGAAACTACC